TTGAAAGCAGATTATTATTAAATTAAAATACCAACCAGAGTTATTACTAATCCACTTAAGTCGATTGATTTTCGCTTCCTCAAACCCTCAACTCACCTCAACTTTTTCCAAATCGTCAAAAACCACTCACACACCACACCTCGGACTCGTCTAAGTGCTGTCTGCAGATCGAGTGGTAGTTAAATGCACTTGGAGGTTTTTATAGCCTCTAGTTAGCAACCCGAAATAACGTCTAGCATCCATGTATGGTGTGGTTCYTACAGCGACGRAGAAGACGCCTTGCGCCGTCGCCCAAATAAGGCAGCATGTGATAAGTCAGGGGGGTGTTTGGGGGCACACCACATGCACGTTCCAAATGTTTCGACGAGAATGAAGTGCACGTGAGTTAAAAATAGGCAGAGTAGTGACCCTCCACAAATATTTACAATTTTTCACGTAATTCCGAGGATTATTTTTGACCCAGGGGCAAGGTTAAGTGGCTTGGCAAAATTATGGAATGCGCTTTGTGGACTTTGGAGTGCTTATGCGACAATTATTGCACTATTTTCGGTGCTTATTGCCAACTTCAACACTCTGTGCCCTATAAACCACAAATGTTTAACTAATTAATTTTTAATTAACGACGAGCAAAGCGAATGAGATTGCTACGAGTATTATACACTATTTTTTCTACTTCATTTAAGTGAGCTAATTTATTTGTAATGTTTTCTTCTTAATCAAAAATTTTTGAAAAAACGTCAGTATAGAGTAAAAATATACAGTATGTCCCCGAATTGGGTTTACAAGAGGAAAAAAAATTATCTTTGATTTTACGCCAAAACTGCAAAGGAAAAAAGTTTTTGCTTTAATTGAAAATCATTACTAATTTTCATAAACAATTTAAAAAAATATTTCTTATAAAATGAAAAAAGTTTAATAAAAAAAATTTATTCTCATTAGTACAGAGTGTTCCACCTAAGTTGTTATCGGTTTGTATCTGTTATTCTGTTATATTCCCCTACATAGTATGTCCCCGGATTGAGTTTACAAGAGGAAAAAAAATTTATCTTTGATTTTACAAAGAAAAAAAAGTTTTCGCTTTACTTGAAACCACCAAATCTGTAATTAAAACTTCATTATTCTAACTCAGTAGAAAGAAAAATTCAAAAAGTCCAAAATCAAGAGAAAAATGAACTTTTCTTTCTACTGAGTTAAAATAATGAAATTTTAATTACAGATTTGCTGGTTTCAAGTAAAGTAAAAACTTTTTTCCTCTTGTAAACTGAATCCGGGGACACAATCATGGAATAATCTTATTTATTAAAACTGAAAATATTTTGTTTTCACAAAAATGCTCGAATTTCCTTTTTTAAAGATACAAAATTCTCAACTCGATTTAAAATTATTGCATGTTTGTTTTTCTGCTGATATTATATCACTTTTTTGGTGATTCTTTTCGAAAACTTTATGTAATATTTAATATTTTGGTGTTGACATTTAGACAATTAAAAGCTCTATCAAAATGGAAAAAAATAGACATTTCCATTAAAAAAAAAATGTGATGACGTCATTACTCAAAAACCAAAAAGTGTAAGATTTTAAATCAAGTTGAAAACTATGTATTTTAAAAATAATTGAACTGTTCGAGCATTTTTGCTAAAACTAAATATTTTCAGTTTTAATAAGATTATTCCATAATTTTGTATATAAACAAGTGTTTTTTTATTTAGTTAAGTTTCTTATTCAAAATCCAAGGGATAAAACATGTTTTCAAGTGAAAAATGTCACAAACAAAATGCATTTTTGGATTAAAAAAAAAATTGAAAATTGTCCACTAGATAAACAAAAAAAGTACAGTGAAACTGCCATATGTCCAATTTTTCCGTAACTCGAATAAAAATGCGAGTCCCTTAAAATTAATAAATAATAAATGATTTATATTTTTACAACAAAATAACCAAACTTCATGATGCCAAATAATGTATTATTACGCTCATTTACACAGGAATAATTTTATATCAAAATGTGACATTAACAACCACTTTTTTTAAGTCCTTATTTCAGAGTTCTAGAATTGGTAAATTTACATATCTTTAAGTTTATTCAACGACAATTTTAGGAATCATCTGGAATTTATAAATCAGAAATCAAAAACCAGAAATCAGAAATTTAAAATCAGAAATCAGATATTAGAAATCAAAAAACATAAATCAGAAATTAGAAACCAGAAATCAAAAATTAAAAATCAGAATCCAGAAATCAGAAACCAAAAACTAGAAATAAGAAATCCGAAATAAGAAATTAGAAATCAGAAAACATAAATTAGAAACCAAAAAATAGATAAAGATTTGTTTAATTCAAGAAATAAAAATCAAACATCTGATTTTGGGAGAAAGAATAGTTTAATTCTTTTAGAATACGTGTTTAAATTTTGTTCATTCAATTCTCAACGGAGCAATATTTTATTTAAAGATTTATGTTCCCAGATATTAATACCCACCTTTAGTGAATGAAATCGGAATAAACCCAAACACTGCGTTGGCGATCTGTAAATAGCTCGTTTACGATTTTACTCATTCTTGTATATTTTTAACTAAAGATTGAGTGGGATTTGGGAAAATAAAATCAAAAAATCATATCTACATACATTTATTGTGAATGAAATTAATTTGTACACTAATATACAGATATACATTGACCTTAGAAATATATTACATTCATATTACTAACAACATTTTGTAATATCATCTCAGTGGTGAGAAAGCGACGTCCGAGTCACCCCTCCGTCTATTTCCGTCCATCATTCACACTTTTCCACACTTATAAATACAAAAATAATGTGCACGGGGTGTTTCGGTCGTCGATCCCTCCCACACAATAAAAACTGAAGACTAGTTGGATCACAAAACCTAAATTAAAAAATTGCAACTCAAAGTTTTTACGTTCACATAATATTCTCGTCAGTCTAGCTTAGAGGAAATATAAATGCTATCTTGGAATGATTCGTCAATATTCATTATAAAAAGAATTAAACGCTAAAAAAGTATGGTATGTACACGGTATAAAAATGTCTTTAAACTAAAATTACAATAAAAAGTAAACACCATAATAAGACGTAGATATAATTGTAGCATGTCAAACATTAAAAATAATCAGGTACTTGTGACAGGGACGAAGACGGGTAAATCTGATCAGTAATAAATAAATAAGACGCGTCTTCGTCCCAGTACCTCCATTTTTGCACAGATCGTGTACGTACATACATACAGAACGACACTTAAGATATGAGTATTAGGACATTGAGGGTGATATGCGACACCTATCTAGAGATTTTTAAATCACTGGAATCAACGTTCAAACCGCCGACACTTGAGTTTCTTCGTCATCTGCACCAAAAATAAGCAATCAGAATAGTGTAAAGCACACAGACGCGATTGTGGGGCTCGCAAACATATTATCGTTTCAGTACCACCAACATATTAAAAAAATCACTAAAATCTTAAAAATATGATGTGATTTTCACAGAAAAGTGCAATTTTAATTCGCTTTTTCTTTTGCTAAACATCAAGTCTAATTAATGCCTTAAAAGCCTTAAAAAAATTTTCTTTTCAAATTTTCAAAAACCCACAAAATGGCAGAACGCATTTTTTTTCTATTTTGGTGTCACAATGAGCACAAAAAATGCAATTTTGTGACACTGATTTTAAGTGTTTCTAAGTGAGAAATTGTTGCAGTTTATCGTATTTCACCGAAACTAATGCAATTTAAGCTACTTTCGAGCAATTTGGGTACCGCATACGTCAAATGTCAAAAATTTTAATCGTCAAATATAATAAGTTCCATTTAAAAAACGCTAAATAGAAAAAATTGTATAAAAAACGTGTTACCACCTTTCATGGTCACACTCGTGCCATTGCGTGACTCGTGTCACAAACTACTTGTGTCACAATGAGAGTGTTTATAAAACTTATTTTTTATATACCGTGCGATCAAAAAAAAAATAAATAAATTAGAGTAGGCGTTGATTAAAGTCCTTCAGATGGCAATTCTAATTTTTGACATCAAATGTCAGCAGAAACACTGACAAGTTTGCGTTTTATTGAGTGAAATAATGTTCACTTTAGAGCAGAAAATTTTTATTGTTCAAGTTATTACAAAAATGCTGTACAAGACGAAAACGGTGAATGGTCATTTAAACTTTCAGTTTGTGTGGAAAATTACCAGCCCAGATTCCCAGCCAATATGTTGCCATCTGTAGAATTTAATCGACGCCTACTCTAATTTATCCTTTTTTGATCGCACGGTACTATTTTGAAAAACACAATTTTTGACTCCAGAATTGGAACTTAGGTTTTTGAAAACCATAATTACAAAAAATGTGAAGAAATCAATGCTAATCGAAATCGGAAATTATAAAAATTAAAATATTATTGACAATCAAAAATTTTGTTTACGAAAAGAAAGAAAGGAGACGTTTATGAAGAAACTGCAGGCTTATTACAGAGTTAAAAGAAAAACTGAAGAAAAAGCGTCAAATCAAATGTGATAAAATCCAGGAAGAAAAAATTAAAAAAGTTTAAATGTTGTTAAATTAAAATGGAATAAAAAATTAAATTAACTGAGAAAAAGTTTGAGAAGAGCAATTTTCATTGTGACTGAAAAAGTAGAAAATTGTCAAATTACAGAATCTGAAAAAGTGTTAAAATCCAAGAGGTAAAGAATGAAGAGATAATTTAAGTAGAATAAGCAACTTAGATTTTTGAAAACCATAATTACAAAAAGTGTGAAGAAATTAATGCTAATCAAAATCGGAAATTAAAATAATTATCGACAAAATTCAAGAATTTTGTTTACGAAAAGAAAGAAAGAAGACGTTTATAAAGAAACTGTAGATTTATTACAGAGTGAGCTAAAGATCAAAAAAAGAATAAAAAATAATTGACGAAGTAAAAAAACTGAAGAAATAGTGTCAAATTTCGGATTATACTTATTGTTGAATTTCAACACTGAAAATGTGTTAAAATCCAGGAAGAGAAAATGAGAAAAGTTGAAATGTTCTTCAAAAATATTAAAAACCAATATTGAATACATACATCAAAAACTCGTGACCAATAAACTGATAAAAATAATGGTTCAAAAACTGTATAAAACGAAATAGAAACATCCATTCGTAAGAATAGAGAGCGAGAGACAAAAATACACGAGAATTTTATGTTATTTTTTATTACGATTTAAAATTTAATTAAACAAAACTAATTTTTTTAATTAAAAAAAATATAACATTTAATTAAGCATTCTATGTCATCAAGCCATTGTTTTGCAAACAATGCGAACTTAATACCTTCAAATCATTAAATGTAGACTGAAAAACTTGCAAAGCAACAGTTTTTTAAATTTTGTAATATACAGAGTGCGCCAGAACTCGCGTCCCAGAGAAAAATGCCATGTAAAGTAAAATACCAGGAACATGAAAAAAATGTTTAAAAATTCTATGTTATGAGAGTTTAAATTTTGGACTTTCACTCTCTTTATATTTCAGTTGAAAAAATAATTTTCCAAGTTGTTTTGCTACAAATTATAACTCTGTTTAATGTTATTTGTGGCTTCTATTGACAAAATTTTTGTACCTTTAACAAATAATTATAAAAAAACATATACAAGATCATCAGTATCATTAACTAGACATAAAAAATGTCAAATGTCAAAAAATAAATGTCAAAATTTTTTAAACATTTTTTCCATGTTCCTAGTACCTTATCTTACTTGAAATTTTTCTGTAGGGCAAGAGTTACAACACCCCTGTATTAACTTAAAAAAAAAAGATTAAAATTTGAATTTCATAAAAACAATTTCAAAATTGCTTCCAAAAATTTACTGTTTGTTGTGATTAAAATTAATAACTGTTAAAATTGACAATAAAAAAGTGCTTAAAAGTGAATGCTGTTAACCCGTAACTAATTCTTGTGACAATTCTATACAAATTCTGCCACTTTTCATGAAAGAATTGTCCCTCGAAAAATGTATTATTATTTTGGTGACCCAAATGAAACAAAAAAATAAATCTGCGWTGTTGCCATTTTTCAAGTAGATTTGAGTGTTTTAATGAGACTAATGACACACAATCGTCACAAATTCCAAATTGACTGTTATTTTATTTTATTGATAAGATAATTAATATTTGAATTTTTGTAGTAGCATTTATTCTTTTCCTCATTTTGACCTATTTGTTCGAATTAAATCTCTCTTCTTAACATAGCCCAAAAATTTTAATTAAATTAATTCAGTTATTCTAGTGACTGTGACAATGATTTTTAATATGTTGTTTGTAATTTTTCTTTAAATCCCGAGTAACATACGATTTTTTTAAACACGTCACGAGCCCAACTATCGCATCCACGCAATGAAACTCTTCTGTATGTAGTATGAACATGACAATGCATGAGGTATAATCGTCGGGTCAGGTCAGGTCAAAAGTCAAACCATAATGATGAGAGTGTCAGAGTCGCCAGTCAGTAAGTCAGTCAAGTCTATGATTAAAAAAAAAATGACACTGTGATTCAATGTGAAATTTTCCTATACATACCCTGATCAGTATCAGGATCATTATGGTAGAGGTAACCCTGAGTGACCCCTTCATGGGAATGGGCACGACCCAGTCGATGCAATCGGGCCATTTGAGCTGCCACACTATATGCAGGAGGTTGTCTTCGGCCTGCACCTAACACACCAACATTTAGGTTTTTTTTTAATTTTTATTAAATTAAGTGCGTTTGTTAGTACCCAAAATCGTGAAGTTAGCTACGAAAAACTACCCTAATTCCCGTTTTCCGCAAATCACAAGCGGTGTACAATGCAAAAGCTACACATAACGACTTACCATTGCGCAAAGCTTGGGGTAAAGGGGGCAAAACGGCCACAGCATGGGGGCAAGGAGGCATAGCACCAGTATAGGGACACCAGCCTACCACCAAGATGAACAATCAAACAAATCGTACACACAACAATGTATCTCACACACATATTCGGAAGTTTGCAATGCACATACCTGGCAAAGGCGGAGGATGTCGTGGTGGACTCGGACACCGAGCTTGGTAAGGGTGCGAAAGTCCGATGGTAGTCTCAGAGCTTGTTGTACAGTGACTCATAGTGCTGTGACCAGAGTCGGAAGAAGTAACAGAACCTGTGTAAACATGCCCACATTCATGAACGTGCTCGAGTTAGAGGTGGTACAAGATGCGAGGGGTGATTTTTTAAGAAGAGTGCAATTCGGCTGCGTGCGTGCACTACCAGTATAGTATTTACAAGGAGGGGGTGGTCTACATTGTCAACACTGATGAATAAAACAAACTAATGCGAACAGTTAACACGGATGCATTGATCAATTTTCAATTTTTGAAATGAGTATTACCACGAAAAATGATAAATCCCCAAACACAAAAACACGATTAATTATATTGCCCCGCTTGCAAAGTTAAATTATTTTTGCAACGTTTTGTAAAAAAATTAAGTAAGGTTTGTTCACTAATTATTATACTTTTATTTAAAGATTTCCAAATATTTTTGACCTTTTGTCCACAATTAACACACTCAATATACACAACTCCAAAAAATTAAGGTGATTTTTGAAGGACTGTATCTCAGTAGAAAATAGGTTTTTTTTTTGAAAATCAATTAATTAAGGAGACGAGTAAAATTAGGATATGCAACGGATGAATGGTCTCAAAAATTAGACAATATTGTTACTTAATTTTTTTTACAAATTTTCAAAAAAATGTTTTTTTTGCCGTTTTTTTTTCAAATTTAACAATTAACCAATGCAAGATGGTAAAAAAGTTAAAAAGAAATTGCTCTTTTCATGTTGATAAAAATTACACAATGTTCAGAAACAATAAACTTGTTCCTTTAATACATTTGTAAAAGGTTGATTAATGGGTCGGAGGAAACGGTTTGATGGATCGATTTAAAAATTTGCAGGGCTATTGGGGGTACATTAAGCTGTAAAAAACACTAGAAACCCCATCAATATTTGTGAATAGGCGGTAGATTTACTAAAACAACGAAAAAAGTGACTTTTTTTTCTCTTTTTTTTTAAACCAATGTTGAGGATTAAATTTTTTTATTTTAAAAAAGATCTTGTAGAAGATTTATTCCAGTTTTTGAAACTATTTTTACATTCCCTGTGTCAAAGTAAGATATCTCAGCGACAAATTGACGTAAAAAAAATCAAATTAAATCTGAATGAACAAGCTATCTGGCTCATGCATTATTTTAACAAAAAAAAAAAACCCAAGTACGTGAAACAAAAACATTTTTTTTCTTGTGCATTAAAATTGCGTGATAACTTGCAACTTCAAAATGTTTTTTTTTTGTTTTTTTTTTAAATCTAGATCCGACCATTTTTCACTGAGATACTTATACTTAATTTAGAACATTTTTTTGTTTCCTTACTTTTTTGAAATAGTGTACTTCCGGTGGCGATTCTAGCTTATGAAAATTACGAGGGCTTGAGTGGGAGTTCATGATTTTACACTTCCATTCAAGAAAATTCAAAAATAAGTATTAATACAAAATGATTTGCATACTAACACACAATGTGAACAAAAAGTATAGAACTACGCCTGCCTTCAAAAAATTATAATTAATAAAAATCAAAAAAAAAATAAAAATACTGGGATAAAAAATTCCATCGTATCTTGAGAATAAAATCTTTTTTTGTTTGAGTTTTGCAATTTCTTTTCAAAATAATTTTTGAGAAATGAAATGGGATTTTTTCGATAAAAATGGAATAAAATCGACTCTCCCAACGGCAACTATAGTAACTCATAAAAATTGGTTTTTGCGTTACGATGGCTCATATAGGGCCCAAAATACAAAAACAAAGAGAAACATTTTCTTTGAATAAACATTTTTTTACCAAAATTTAGACTCAGCACTGTTCAATAATAATAAACAGTTCTTTGATTTTTTATTAACAATCAAAAATACAATGCATTTTTCTTAAAACTGTAATTTTTGAGTTACTATAGTTGAGAGAGTTAAAATGTAGATATGTAGTTGTAATTTTTGGATCAGAATCTTTATAAAAAAAAGTTTTTTAAAATTAGCAGAACTCAAAAGCAAAAAAAGATTCGAAATTTTCATTCTTCAGAAACATCACATTTTTATAGTACTATATCATTGATCAATTAGTTTTTTTTTAATAGTTTTAATAGTTTCAGAAGGTATAAAACAGTTAATACTAATGCATTTTTATTTTTATGCAATCATTTTAAAAAAAAATATTTTTAATAATATTAAAAACATTTTGACGAGACTCGAATCCCGGTAAAAAAGGTCTACCATCACAACTGTGAACTTCAGTAGAAAAATCCAAGAACGTTTAAAATTTTTTTACATTGTGTCTCCGCTAAAACTCCTCTCAGGTTATATCTCGTTTGCTCATGAAGCAAAAAAATTGTTTTTACAGCAATAATAAACCTGACTAAAAATCTTGCAACTTCGAACAATTTTATTCCGTTTTTTGCTATAAAAAGGCTTAAGTTTTTAATACAAATAAAATATCTAGTTATAAACAAAAGTCGACCATCGCGATATATCTCATCCGAAATCTGTTTTATTCATAAGTTTGCAAACTACTCTCTTTTCTACTGGTTATTCCACAAACAAACAATTTCTTGATTGAATTCTCTCAAGTTAAATGAATGTTCCGGAATAACAACCATCTTTGACAGCCAATTCGTTGTCAAAAGCGGAGATATACGCACCGGAAGTAACAGTTTTTCTTAGGGGCAAGTTACTGAGCGACGTGACACTACTGCTTTCAGCCGATAGAGCAACGGAAGGCAAAGGTGTGGGGGTGTCCGAATGCGATCTTTCATGCATGGCGCGGCCGCCCGCACCCGAACTACTAGAACTGTGTGATCCGTAACTCGAATAACTACCTGCAATCCGAACAAAAGCGCATTATGATAACAGATAGTTCCAAAAATGGGAAATAAAAATGAACGAAGCTGTTGATTGGTTAAACAAAACGAGACATTACCGGTTGCACTCGGCGCTCTTCTCACAGCCGGACTAGCCTGCGATGGGGTCACTCCATGGCTCGGCAATTGCCTCGGTTGGTGCGGCCGCGTCTTATTCGGCTCTGACAACGCTAACAACTTCCGGACGGCTTGCGGCGACGCTGATCCTAAAACAATCATTTTTTGAGATCAGTTTCACCGAAGTGAACAAGTCGGTTTTAGTTTTCCAAAAGCAACCAACAGTTATTTATTATTTTTTTAATTCTACATAGTAGGGTTTCATAGAGAAAAAAAGGTCTAAAAGTGACTAAATTAACGTTTTAAAGAAAAACATCACAAAAATTGCGTTGGCTTTCAATCATGCAATATTCAAATGTGGCTCACACTCTTCAAGAAAATCAAACGATTTTTTTTAAGTCATATGAAATCTTTATTTTTTTTTTGGAATCCACATTCCAATCTAACATTAACTTTTCGTGACTAATTGGAAAAATTAATGTAAATTCATTATTTTTGCATCTTTTCCAAAGCAAATTCAAATTGCATTAAAACAGTTTTTTTTTATGAATAAGGCTCGGATTATATTTTACGAAAAATCCGTAAAATATGCGCAAATATATGCACGTATTTTCACAAAAATATGCACAAAATATTAAGAAATATGCTCGAATATATGCCAAATATGCATCGATATGCAAAACTTTTAACAATAAAAAATCAAAGTTGGAATAAATTTTTATCCTCGAGTACATTAAAGTTTGTATTTTCATCATCTTGAACCGCACACAATGGACGAAAGAGAATAAGTAAATTGGTTTTGCTTCAGACAAGCCATTTTAATAACCTAGTAATTAAGCCTTTCTAAGAAATCTGTACTTTTCAGATGACATGTTACCGTCAAAATAAAGTTACTATTACATCACTTTAAACAATTTTGCTAAAATTCATTTGCAGGCAACTAGTTATCAACATAGAAAGATTTATTCGTTTTATACCAGGTGAATAAAAAGTATGGAAACATTTTTTGCTTAAACTATTAATTTTTTTAAAAACTATTTGATGAATTAAATGTTTTATCAAGAATAAAATTATTCGAATTTTTTGTTTTTGAGTTCTACACAAATTTTATTTTTTTTTAAATGGCAACCCACTAAAAACAATGTTTTGTAACTCCCCCAAAAACAACGGTATTAGAGACTATCATCTACTTTTTATTAATTTAAAAAAAAATTACATACATTACAATTTTGACAAAACTCATAACTCAAAGCAAATCAAAATTTCGCTTTGAAAATACGAACAGATTTTTTATATTACTTTATTTTATATTAATTATTATTTTCCAGAGGCAAATAATTAAAAAAAAAAATTTGGTTCTAAACTACATATTCACCCTGTATAAAACGAATTTGAAAAGGAAACACTCAGCAAGATACTAATTCTTTGAGTCCGGCTTACGAATTACGGGTTGTTTTCTGTTTAACATATTTTGTAATCGGATCATTTTTCTTAAACTGGCCAATTTTTAACTTGAACTGAAATTTTTAATCGGAAATTTGTGATTTGAAGAAAATATGCACAAATATGCATTATTTCCTAAAATATGCACGAAGTTGCCAAAATATGCAAAATATGCATTTTTTAATTGGCTTATTTTAATCAAAAAACATTAGACATGCATAGAAAACTTACAATTTTGTTGATATACCTCTTAATAACAAATATGCATTTTGCATATAATCCGAGCCTTATTTATGAATAATCGATGAGGTTTTTGCATAATCTTGAATTTGATTGGTTGCATACATTTGTTAATTTATTGGTCCGATTACAAGGACCAATAATAATCATTTCACATTCGCGTAATTACTACTATCGTGAGAACAAACCGGTTTTTATTTCTTATTGCTCAAAATCCGAAAAAAAGCCAGCAACGTGAATAATTATTGAATTCTGAATCGAATTTTTATAACAAATCAGCGTTTAGTGTCAGTTATCTTACTTTAATTTGATCTAATTTTGCACAATGGGTGGAGCCAACCCCAAAATCAATATGAACCAGCACTTACGATCATGAGACCAATAAAAAGAAAAAAATATTTAATGGGTTAAAGTTGAGTGTCATTGTTCGATCCTTAGCCAATCAATTACGTCTTTTAAAATGAACCAATCAGAACACGTCTTAGATTTTTCGACAAGAAAAATAATTAAATTTTTTGTTTTGAAAATCGGCTTCTTTGATTTTATTGTCAATATAAAAAAAATAGTTATTTCAAAAATAAACGCTAATTAATTTTCTTTAGTGTCAAATATCCAAATTGCCAAAATTTGACATTTTTGGAAGATACACATAACACTGTGTAGTTAGTACATTTATTGTGTACAGTTGAAGACAAAATACTTTGATCGTCACTTTTCTGACACTTTAATATAATTCAAGCTTTAATGTTAAAATGAATAACAATTTCAAATTAATGACAGCTATTATATTTTCCTATCAAAAATATGTACAGTTGCGGCCGTTGAAAACTAAGACATTTTTGACAAATCCAAAATTTTGTTGTTGTAAAATGCCTTGAAACTGAAGTTTGTAAAATGTCATTCAAATATTACGAATCAGTGTCGTAGAGTATAAAACTGCTTCAAAACAATGAATTTAAGTTTTGTAGACAGAAATAACTACAGTATTTTATTGTAACACGATTCGAATTTAAAAAATTAAAACTAACATTGTCATCCTTGATGAAAACCTTATTTACAGTACACAAATTTTGAAAATAGCAAATAGAATGCCAATAGTTAATGTCTTAATTTTCAAAAACCGCAACTGTACATACAACTGTACTAAAATTTGTATTTTGCTTAATTTTTCTTTCAAAAACACCGATTCGGGTCATTTTTAGCCGTTTTAGCCTTCATTTGATAAGTCTTTGAAAGAAAATATTGCAAAAATCCATAATTCGACAGATTAATTCTTTCCATACAATTAGTGCAAAACTTAGCACAAAAATTCAAAATGGTTCAAATAAGAATTCAAATTTTCAAACAAAAAATAATTTTTTTGTTTTTTTTGCCAGCGGTGGCTCACTTCGATGAATTATGACTGCCAACATTAAAAATTTAATCAAAATGGGTTAATAAATAATGAAGTTAGAGCAATTTTGTAGATATAGGGCTAAGCTAGCCCCAAAATTTACGAATGAAGGATAAAACCGCTTGCTTCGAAAAAAAAAATGAAAAGTACATAATTCGACAGACTAGTTCAAAATTTAGCATAATTTGAACCATATCAGGAACATAATGAATAATTTTCTGTTACAAAATGGTCAAAAAAAACTCAAATTCTCAAACAAAAGACCATTTTGTGTTTTTTGCCAGCGCTGGCTTACTTAGAATTATAAGTACACTAAAAATTTCAAGAAAATCAATAAAGTTAAAATGTTTTTTTAGTTGGAGTACTAAAATTTACAAAAGAGGGCTCAAAATCGCTTGTAACAAATACCCAAAGAGTAAAACGAATCTTTAAGTCTACTGTTAAATTACGTGACTTTTACATCAATCACAATATCTAAAAAACAAATTCCTACAGAATATTCTTTTAAATTATCCTGCAGAATCCAAGATCGGTTACTTAAAAAATAACTGAGTAAAGTTGTTTTGAAGATTAGAATTTATGCATTTTTTCTTTTCTCAAAGGGCATCACTTTTTTTTAATTAAATTTAAATTACGTAAAATTTAAAAAACCTTTACTTTGATGTATAATAGAGTATTAAGAGAGTAATCTTACTCACCAAACTTAGCGGTGGGTTTACGCTCATCGCTTGTACTACTCGTACTYCTGGTAGTGGAGGGCGCTGGTGAGGCATGCCTCTTGCCTCGTTGACTCCCCGGGCCTGAGCTACTACCCCCCGATGCCGGTTCGCACTCCAGCGACATCTCGTGGAGTTTGGATTCATCGTTCACCACATGAAGATTGTTCAAATACGCTTTCACTCTTCGCACCATTTGGGACTCCTCGAACATTTTCTTAGGATTAGGCGCCGCTGTTGACTTTTTTCGTCGCTTGACTGTGGTCTGGCCTTGAGGATGGTGCTGAGACGAGGCCGTTGTCAGTTGGTTTAAGGCCACCATAGCGTTACTAGCGGGTTGGCCTCCAAGTTCCAGCATTGTCAAAAGGTCATAAGGGCTGCTACACATATTACTCAAAGAACGGACTTCTTTGGCAATCATGCGAAGCTTCTCGAAGTTCACTAGGCCTTCAACTTGCGAATCGTTGCCCAGGTGGATGAAGGTGAGGTCTTTTTTGACCACGGGATAGAAAGGAATCTGTCGAGAAAGAMGGCGCTTTAGTCGYAAGAGGAGGTGGGGGGGCATGCAGTGACGAGAAAAAAAGTGCGAGATGAGAGAATTTGACACAGGTGTACCAACACAAATCAAAAAATCGGGTACACAAAACTTACAGTATGTGTAACTACCAGATAAGTCTAAAAAAGCGTAAAATGTCAACAAGTCGTGACAGCAGGGTTGTTGTTTTTGACAGTTGGTAACACTTACTATAGGCGGTTGACTCTGTTCGGCACTGACGAGCTGTCGGTACTTGCTCATGTTCCTCGAAGGGTCCATTAATTGTTGCAAATCGGAAAACACCCTCTGGTACTTCCCCGGAAGCTTATCCCAACTTTGTCTCAATCGTGACACTGCTCCATGCCCAAGCCCACTGATAATAGCAAACATTGAATTGAAATTCTTGCACTCTTTGCATTGTCCTAGCAAAAAATATATATAGTATTACCCCCGGGAGCGTTACCAAAAACTTACGTGCAACTTTTATAAACTGTTTGATAATTTTCATGCGTCTCACGGGGTTATGTTCACTGCAGACTTCCGTCACGACCCAAAACATCTCTTTATTGACCAAAGCAGCAAACTGTTCAAGCATCGGTGTGCCATATTTCGATTTGAGTTCGAAAAGTTCGTCAATATATTCCGTCGGTTCAATCTGTCGAAAAATACTAAAGTCCTGTAACGTCAACTGAATGGCAACTTCCACGGCGTTCAACTGAAGAAAATGAACAGCGCTTTCCCGAACTAATTCCGGAGCGAGTTCGTCAGGTACTAGAGTTTCAGTGATTCCGTTTGTTTTCAAATAGTAGCGACTATTAAGGCCGATACGTTCGGCCAAGTTTTGTAATTGGTCCGGTAGACGGCGTTGCTTGATAGTCTGGGTGTCGGTAACGCTAACCTCGCATAAACTATAGTTACTACTAGGGTCAGTTATGCCAAACTCTTGCAAGGCTAACATCACGACTTCATGAGCGGTGGTCTCTTTATGAACCAGTAGGTATTTGTAGCTTTGATCGGGTTTGTACACCTGAAAAAAACACAACTTACTTCATTTTGTCTAAAAATTGAGATTTAGACAATAATTTTGTTATAATTCATTGATATAGAAGACTTTCTAAATTGGATTAAAAATGCTCAAATCGCTTTATTTTAGCAGAAAACGAAACCTAAGCATTCATTTTGTTGAAATACATTGATTTAGAATGATTTCTCGCTTAAAATCAATCCAAATCGATTGAATATACCATATATTGCTTTATTTTAGGTGAAAATTTTCATTTAAAAAAAAGTATTAACAAAAAATGTTTAATTGCAATAATCAAATTTTAATTCGCGATTAGTTCGATGTGTGAAAAAGTAAAGTAACTAACAATTTAATTCGAATTTATTTTGAATTTTCGGTAAACGTTCATGTTTAGAAGCATCAAGACACAATTTCGTAGCCAATCAGATGATAGCATTCTGACGTTATATCAGGTGAATCGGAGTTGTTTAATCGTACGATTGTTCAAATTATTTTGTAAGTGCGGAATTATGCAGCCCCAAATAAAAACCTTTTACACCGGAACTGTTACGAAATGGTTTTTGTGTTGTTTTTGAAAAAATTATTACAATAACGAGTCAGTCTTAGCTAAGCTCCCGTACGAGTTACTTGAAATAACTGTTCAAATAAATTATTTCTTCTTATTTCTTATTATCAATGCATGCGTGTTGGGTATTTTCGAGTGCCAAATAGACATCTAGTAGTGTTCGAGTTATTAGTGAGTGCCAGTGGAAGAAAAGAGAAGACAATCGTACTACAAGGATCTGGATTAAAGGGTAAGTCAATAACACCTTTTAATTTTTTAGAAAACTTACACTTTTTTAATTTTATTTAATATTTTCAACTGATTTAATAACACATTAAACTGATTTTGTGTTTCTTTATTTTCAGTAGGTCCGTGTAAGAAGCAGAGGCGAATTGCTACAAAAAGCAGCAGAAGAAGATGCCATAAAGGTTAGTGCATTTAATTTTTTTATTTTGTTATTTACCGCAAAGTGAAGTGTGTGAATTTGTGATTTTTGAGTGCAACAGTAAGTATTTATTAAATTATGAATAGAAAGCAGATGTGTTATAGATAAAATGTATTATTGCTCAAATTCTTTTTCAGAATTTGTGGAAAAAATTATTAATGTCTTGAACTTATGTCGGCCAAATAGTTTCTTGTTTTGCCGGGTCAATTATTTCATTTATTTGTGTTATTATTAGCTCAAAAATTCTACACACGTCAATATAATAATGTGAGTAAATATATAGAGTGTCCCAGCGAGTTGAAAGTCCATTAGTGACCTTTAAATGGTAAAATTAAAAAAATATATACAGGACATTGATAGATACTAATCTAGTCTATGGCCTAAAATTATTTTTAATTATACAGCGTGACTCAAAAATAAGTTACAATGCAAACTTGTTTTTTTTTAATGAGACACTATTTTTCTTAGCGTTTTTGGATGTAGATTTTTATGAAAATGTTTTTTCATCTATCTAAAGTTTTACTGGTCGATTTTTTTTTAGTTTTAAAAATAAGACGGTTTTTTTGACCAAAACATGCACTTTTTAAAAATTTATTACACAAAAACTAAAACATCTAGAAATATTTCTAGAATAAACAGAACTAAGACAACTAGAATGTTAAATATTTTTTCATTTATCAATTCTAGACATAAAAGCTTATTTTTTTAGATAGACAATTTATCTGTACTTTCTTCTTTGCAGAAGTAACAAAAAAATTGTTCTAGATGTCTTAGTTTCTGTGTAATCAATTTTAAAGAAGTGCATGTTTTAGCCAAAAAAAACATCTTATTTCTATTAGAACTAAGCGGAAAAACAATGTTTTGAAAGGCAACAAATGCAAAGAAACATACGGTGATTCATTTAAAAAACACACGTTTGTATTGTAACTTATTTTTGGGACACGCAGTAAAGTTGAAAATAATTTCAGACGATGGACTAGATTAGTATCTATCATTGTCCTACATTTTTTTTTTAATTTTACCATTGAAAGGTCACTAATGGACTGTTTCAACTATGAAACATAATACGAATTAAACAGATACAAACATAAAAATGTATTTAACAAGAAAAAAGCACAGACTAGTTAACAAACAATGTATTGTTGTCATAGTTAAAAAAATCAGTAAACACGTGAAATCTACTAACCTTAAGGACATGTTCCGGATAATCGGCACATCTGAGATCATCATAACAAATCGACATCAAGTCTGGGTTGCTCTGCGACTGGTATAAATTCGAGCCTAGGTTACTCGGAGCATTAAAATTATCAACTTGGTCGGTCCCAACACTGATAATATTCTTGGGTAGGATATTCATCTTCATGAGGGCTTTTTGTAGCCTTCTTTTCGGTCCAAGTGTCATAAAACTAGGTTTTTTGTTCTCTTTTTGTGGACTCCCGATGGTCACCGGTTGCGCACATGGCGATTCGTTACTTAACACTAAATTACCGTCGACACTTGAAAGTCTAGCTCTTGGATCGGTCTGTAATTTCGAAATTTCGGAAACTTTTCGACTTCGCGGTCTCGGTGAATTATCTGGTGTGTTTAACATTTCTTTAAAGTGTAGGAGGTTTGACTTGACGGTGATACTCAAATGGGTCGTTCCTCGGAGTATTTCAAGGGCTCGGGCATGGCTGACGTGCTCAAAACTTTGCCCATTAACCTTTAATCAAACTGTAGTGTAAAAACAAAAACAAAAAATCATCACCCACCTCAATAATTTGATCCCCTCGCTTCAACCCAACATCCTCCGCTTTGGTTTTCTTCTCCACTTTCGAGATAAAAATCCCGAAATTTCGCTCAAACCCTCCCAAAACCTGGAAATTGAGGGGCTCATCCCGACTTGACCTCGCCAGTACCACATTCCTTAATCTTGCTTTTGCCGCACAAGCAATATTGAGGAGTCTCAATTGTCCGCTCATTTTCTCATCCTCCAAACCTTGTTCAAAGGTTTCCAAGAAGTCGATCATGTCGGGATCTGTTTCAAAGTCGGTAAAATGATTATTGACCCAAAGAAGCACCACTCGGGTGACTCTATCCCGCACATCGGGGTCTTTGAACCACTCCAGGAGTTGGTTGGCTACATGAAGCGGACTTGGAATAAAAGTGCGATGAGTGAGGAGGAAATCCTCGACATAGGTGGGGTCCGTGAGTGAATTCTCTTCGACTAGTTGGAGCATAAGACGTTCAGCGGTGGCTCTGATCACCACGTGACCTCGTCGGTTGCTTCCAGGCTCCATAGACCCCCGGAGTTCCGTCACCATGACCACTTTACCGTTGTCTTCGTGACGGCGAGTGTTTTCCTCCCCTTGGTGCAGGATTCTAACCAAATATTTTTGTTTACTTACTTGTTGAGGAAAATAATGACTCACCTATAGTAATCCGATTGAGTGATACACACAAATTGACAATCGTCGCATTTGGTAACCATCACCCCCTTATGGTAGAGTTTCTCCATCGTGGGGAGAATCCCAAAGGCCTCTCCCGTAGTCAAAGTCTGACTCTCTTCACCAGGAATGATCACTTCCACGCACCCATTGACTACCACCGACCATGAGTCTAGCTCCTCTCCATCGTTCATGACCGTTGTACCAGCCTTATCTACCACTGCGAATACCATAACTGCGCAAAGGGCACGTCTCACAGCCAAGGTCATGTTGGTGAAGGCCTTCAGGTGCTGAGTGAACTCCAGCAGCGCCTCGATGTCGTCCTCGGTGCGGTCTTGAGGCTCCTTTTCCAAACAGTCGCGGACGCGGTCGCGCACCGTCAGACTCTATTTCATAAAAAAAATAATACAGTGCAACCTCCATGTAAAAAAAAAAACAGTTTTTTAAAGAATTAATTAAAGAGTTGATTTATTATTATCAGAAATAGTAGAAACATTCTGAAAAGCTCACATACACAAGTTTTTAGTAAGAAATGTTGGTTTTTGTATATTTTTCTTATACAGGGTGATCTTTAAAAAAAAATTAAAAAAAATAATTTTATGACTTTTAATATAGTATAACCTGACAATTTTAGAATTTTTCTAAATGTCATAATTTATTTTGGGCCATATTCAACTTTCTAATTTTAAATTGYAACTTATATTTTTTTCTTCATAATTTGGAAGGTATTAGTTTTCTTGATACAGACATGTGCAATATGTTTCACTTTTACTAGAAAACATTATTAAAAGCTAAAAAACATTAATAAAAGTTAATAAAATCCAGTTGTATGGTGTCAAATAGGACGATGCCATTATTTTTATGTCAAAAAGCAGCAAATGAAAGAAAATATTGCCAATATTTGTTCAAATTTTTAATAAGAAATGACAATACAAATTAGAAAAACATCTAATTTTAGTGTGATTTATTTATTTTGTTATTATTTATTTACTGTTTATCCTTTTACAAATTTGTAAAACAAGAAATTACCACCTAGAATTTGAATTTTTAGAAAAATTACGTTTTTCAAGTTGTTTGTAACTAGAAATTTCAGAAGTAATTTTGAATGCCTCGAGTTGGTTACCCCTTGTTGTTGACGGTTGACGTTTTCTGTCAACCTGCTGTCAACTACCAATTAAGTTATCTATACAAGCTGACAGGTGACTTAATCTAAATTTTTGACACTAGTTACTATATTTTTTGTTTGTCACCACAAACCCACCTAACCAAATTTATGGCAACCTATTCACGAATATACACAAATCCTAGGTAGTAATTTCTTGTTGATACGATAATACTGTCAATAATTTTTCAAATTTTCAATAAGAAATGACAATAATAATTACCTATAACAAATTAGAAAAACATTTAATTTAGAGTAATTAATTTAATTTGTTGTTGTTTATTTACTTTGTTTTTAATAACATTATTGGTAACGTACATTTTTTTATTGACACCATGCAACTAGATAATTTTTTTTGATAATATTTTTTTGTAGTAAAAGTAAACATGTTGCACAAGAAAACTAATATCTTCCAAATTATGTAACATTAAACAAAATCTAAAATTGTCAGCTTATACTACAAAAAAGTCATTTAATTTAGTTTTTTAATTTTTGAAATCGGGCAATAAATAAAAATTTTACAACGCCTCCCGTTTTTTAAAAATCACTCTGTATAAAATTGAACTACAGGGTGTGTCAGAACTCGCGCTTTAGAGAAAAATTTCAAGTTAGGTAAGATACCAGGAACATGGAAAKAKTGTTTAAAAGATTCTATCTGTCAAAAAATTCTGACATTTATTTTTTGACATTTGACATTTTTTTATGTCTATTTAATGATACTGATGATCTTGTATCGGTATGTTTTTTTTTATAATGAATCTGCTTAAACTCTTAAAAAGCAAAAATGGCATGTTTTTTGGGCTAATTCTGTGATTTTTCTGTTTATTTTCAACAAAATTTTGCGAAATAATTGCGTTTCTAGCTCAAAAACGTGCTAAAGCCCTTGATACAATCAAAAATAATGTAATTCTAGATTAAATATCTTGAATTTTTAGTTTGCTTTAGCGAAAATCCGGAGATTTTAGTACAAAAACGGACCAAATTTTGTGTTTCTTGGCTTATTGTTGTTTTAATTTTGCTCAGAAATCAGTTAAATCGAGTGAAACAAACAAAGTAAAAACAATATCAATCCTTATATAATAAATAAAAATTTTACGCCTCCCGTTTTTTAAAAATCACTCTGTATAAAATTGAACTACAGGGTGTGTCAGAACTCGCGCTTTAGAGAAAAATTTCAAGTTAGGTAAGATACCAGGAACATGGAAAAAATGTTTAAAAGATTCTATCTGTCAAAAAATTCTGACATTTATTTTTTGACATTTGACATTTTTTTATGTCTATTTAATGATACTGATGATGTTGTATCGGTATGTTTTTTTTTATAATGATTGGATAAGGATACAGAAAATTTGCCAATAAAAGCCACAAATAACATTAAACAGAGTTACAATTTAGGATACAGCTTCCTTGTTTCCTCTTCTAATAGCTTGTACCAAAAAAATTTGAAAAAATTATTGTTTCAACAGAAATAAATAGAGTTAAAGTGCAAAATTTAAAGTCTCACAACATCCAATTTTTTATAGATAGAATTTTTTTAACACTTTTTTCCGTGTTCCTAATATCTTACCTTACATGGCATTTTTCTCTGTTTTCTCTTCTGTATAGTTTCAACACTCACTCTGTATGTTTTATTATATATTTTTTAATGTTTTCGTTCATTTGTTTCAATTAAAATTCGATTTTCCGAAAAATCGAAAAATCTGGTAAAAATTAGTTCGTACTATCGAGGTTCTACTGTACTAAAATAACCCAAAATTAAATTAAAAGACATACATCCATGCTTTCGGCCAAGTCGTCCTCCTCGTCGCTATCGACGATACTCTCGACCAAGCCGGTAAAGTCGATGTCTTCTCCGTCGAGTTCCGATTGGTTTGAGGCCATGGTGTCGGAGCCGCTGTAGGCCGAACTCGTGTCCGAAGAGTGGGAGCCTCGGCTGCACTTGTGATACAGACTCGGTCMCATCATGTTTTGGGCATACTGCAAAACAACTCACGAGTCACATACAATGTTTTTTAATTCACCAAACTGCGATTTTGGCAACTTGTACTCACAGCGTGGTCTAACATCATGTTGATGTTGCGATGCTGCGGATGATCCATCAGTGGCGAATTTTGTACTCTTCTACTTTGCTCAATGTCCGGATAATCGATCTGGAACAGAACAGCCCCCTTAGAGCTTGTTTCGGCAGCATTGGGCCACGAGAGCGTCTTCAGACGCCGCCTCCCGCCCCTCAACCCCCTATCCAAGGTGTTATAAACCGAATTTTTCCGTTTTAAATTTACGACCGCCACTGAAACCCTCTTTTCCGGCGGTAATCTGTCAATCTGGACCGCCGTTAACAACGCGTGTTTCAACATTTTCCTCGACTACGACTGAAACGCCTCTTAACAACAACAGTCAACGGATTTTTTTTTATTTCCTTCCGTTTTAGATAAAACCGACCCACTCAAATCTAGGATCAACAAACGAATTTTTACGCTTTTGCTATCATCACGAACTCGATCGAAATGCACTTTCGAGGTTTAAGGAATTGGATCACGAATTTGTATTAATTTTATTGAGACGGCAGATTGCATGCCGGAAATGGTTCTTCCTGTTGTAGCGTTCCGGGAAGAGTCGTAAATATAGAGCGTGAAAGAAGTGATATTCCCGGAAATTCGAACGTTTTTCCTTAAAGTACGGCCGATTTACATCGATATATCATACACTTCTTATTTTAATGAGAACTATTTGAAATTTGAAATTAAAATTAGACAYTTTTACTTCCTTCTCGAAGGAATAAATCGATAAATAAAAATTAAACCTGACAAAAAATCACACAATATCTGTGAGTCAATATTTTTCAGGAWACAGCTTGAATTCCAAGGTAATAAACAAGAAATTAAAGCAATGTTGCRAGATCAAAAATAAAAAATTCACCAGATCCGAGTTGAAAAATATGGCAAATTACGATTTGTATTAAAAATCTGCTTAAACTCTTAAAAAAGCAAAAATGGCATGTTTTTTGGGCTAATTCTGTGATTTTTCTGTTTATTTTCAACAAAATTTTGCGAAATAATTGCGTTTCTAGCTCAAAAACGTGCTAAAGCCCTTGATACAATCAAAAATAATGTAATTCTAGATTAAATATCTTGAATTTTTAGTTTGCTTTAGCGAAAATCCGGAGATTTTAGTACAAAAACGGACCAAATTTTGTGTTTCTTGGCTTATTGTTGTTTTAATTTTGRTCAGAAATCAGTTAAATCGAGTGAAACAAACAAAGTAAAAACAATATCAATCCTTTTTGTGATTTTTAGGCGTGTGAAATAATCAAGTTAGAGCCTAAGAGTTAGGTAAAAATATCATAATAAACTCTTTTTATTTTGTGATAGTACGCTATAGCAAACTCTCGGGAAAAAAACAGATTTTTCAGTTTAAAAATCCGCTTGAACCTTTAAAAAAGAAAAAAATATATCGTTTTCAACCTAAATCTGTGTTTTTTAGCTTGTTTTTAACGAAATTTTGCGAAATAATTACTTTTCTAGCTGAAAAACATGCTAAAACTCTTAACAAATGCAAAATTAATGTAATTTTCGACTTAATTTGTTGATTTATCAGTTCGTTWTAGCGAAATCTCGCAAAAAACGTGCTTAGAAAGAATCTCCGCTTATTTTGGCTCAGAAACCAGTTAAATCGAGTGAAACAAAATAACATCAATATCAATTGTTTTTGTGATTTTTAAGCGTGTTTGAACAAGATTTTGCAAAATAAATGAGCTTCTGGTTCAAAAAACGAAGTAAGTCGAGCGAAGCAAGCTAAAAATAATATCAATTTCAATTACATTTTGTAATTCTTTTGCCTACTTCAACAAAATTTTTAGTATTTCCTTCGTTTTTATCTCAAAAACGTGCTTAAAGACTTGAAAAGGGCAAAAATAGAGCCGTTTTTAGTCAAATTTGTTGAATGTTTGATTTGTTTTTAAAGAAATTTTGCGCTATAATTGTGGTTCTAGCTGAAAAAGAATTCGAAAAAGACAAAGATAAAGTGTCATTTTCGTTCCTGTCTAGTAAAATCTTGCAAAAGAAATAAACAGAATTATTTTTAACGAACTTGGTAGTTTTTCGACTTTTTTGAAAAAAACAGTTTCTGGTTGAAAACGTAAATATTTTCAAAAAAAAACACCAGATATTAGAATTTTTACCCAAATCACCAGACACATGAAAATCACCAGATCTTGTAACATTTCACCACACCTGGCAACACTGAATTAAAAGAATCATAACTCCGTCTCTCGAAGTAATTCCAAGTCGTAATTACAAGCAAAACAATCGTAATTCTCTGTAATTAACATTCCTCGACACACCTATCCCGTTCCGAGATCCATCTCTGCGTCTGATTCAAACAGGTCGTGGTCGTGTTATATGGAGCAAAAGGTCGAAGGTTACCAGCAGTTCATCATGGGTTGCTAAGCGACGCCACCCCCTTAACAAACAACGGGGACGGTGGTAGCACGGTAATTGGCCGTTGCGTCTGTCGAACAAAACCATTTGTAGGTACGATTATGGATTTTATAGCCCACGACAATAAAATGGTAAAAAGCAAAATCGATAATAATCGTGGGTAGGAATTGAAGACGCGTCGATTATATTATAATCACTGACGCCCACATGCGCATCCATTGTCGTCGGTGATGGAACAAATAAACGACAAGTTTTAYAGATTTTTTAAATAGAAGACTTGTAAGACCAGAAACGATTTAAAGAAAACAAACCGAGACAAATTAATGCGATATTTCAATGCTAACGCCGACTGGAAGGATTCGGAAGACTTTGGGTGGATGCCAACGAGAGAAACCCTAAACGCGGGATTCTTATCGACTTTTCCCATCTACGGTAGTCCTAACTTCAAATATTTGGACGCAAAAATTTGGCAAAAAATTAGATTTATTTTGTTTAAACTAAAAAAAAACAAAATTTATCGATTTGGTAAAGCTGTAAATTTTTGAATAAATCAAAAAATTCTAAAAAAATCCTAATATAATGAATTTAGAACGAAATAAAACAAAATCAAATTAAAATGGCTAATTTTCGAAATAGTGGGTCAAAAAGCATAAAAATGACACTGTAGATATACCATATTGATAAAAAAACTTGTCTTAAATAAAACTCAAAATTTTCATTGTTTATCAAAGCGGTAGAACTATATAACCACGTCAGTGGTGATTATGTGGGTACAAAGTAAAATATACAGGGCGGTTTTAAAATACTAGGCAACATTTTACAAGGTGTTAAATCATAATCCATTTTTTCTTAGCTTCTGTATTTGGACCCAAAAATCTGGCAAAAAATTAGATTTGTTTTATTTCAACTAAAAAAAAACAAATTTACCGTTTTGGTATGTTAATTTTTGAATAAATAAAAAAAATCGAAAAAAAAATCCTAATATACATATTGAATTTAGAACGAAATGAAACAAAATCAAATTAAAATGGCTACAAATTTTCGAAATGGTGAGTTAAAAAGCATAAAAATAACTGTAGATATACCATGTTGATAAAAAAAAACTTGTGTTTAAAAAAAGTCAACATTTTCATTGTTTATCAAAGTGGTAGAACTATATGACGGAAAACAACCACATTAGTGGTAATAATGTTCTTACTACAAAGTAAAATATACAGGATGGTTTTAAAATAATGAGCAACATTTTATAAGGTGTTAAATCATAATCCATTTTTTCTCAGCGTCTATATTTAGACGCAAAAATCTGGCAAAAAATTAGATTTGTTTTGTTTCAACTAAAAAAAAACAAGTTTATCGTTTTAGTAGAGCTGTATGTAAATTTTTTAATAAATTAAAAAAATAAAAAAAAAATCCTAATATGTTGAATTTAGAACGAAATAAAACAAAATCAAATTAAAATAACTACAAATTTTCGAAATAGTGGGTCAAAAAGCATAAAAAATGACACTGTAAATATACCACGTTGATAAAAAACTTGTCTTAAAAAAAATTTCATTATTTATCAGTGGTAGAACTATATGATAAAAAAACAACCACGTCAGTGGTGATAATATTCTTACTACAAAGTTAAATATTCAAAATGGTTTTAAAATAATAGGCAACATTTTACATAGTCCATTTTTTCTCAACTACGAAAGGGTTTAATATTTTTATTTTATTAATTTTTTTGTAATTTTTTTCTGTAATGAATGATATGTTAAAGAACGAGAAACAGAACTCGGCGTCTAATAAAATTCTTTTATTTTTTAATATACAAATAAAGAATATTGATGTGGTAGAACTTTAAGTCAGTAAAAGAATCCCCTCGTTATAATTCTACATTATGTTATTAGGAGTAAAAGTGATAGTTTATGTAACGAAGTTGAACGTTTATTTTACCATACGTAGTGAGGCAAATAATTCAGCTGAGCTAAACGTATCGAGTGTAAAAATCAACAATACAATTAGCAAGTAAATAAACAAAATAGTCTGGACGCTTTGCAATGAAATCATCGAAATTTGTGTTGAGATTTTCGATAATGTTTATTAATTTAACTAGTGCAGTTAGTAGTGCAAAAAAACATTGCAACCTAAATGTCAATAATGTCATGGTAAAAATTAAAATCCTTAGGCACAAAAACAGAATTTTTACTCCATGGCCGACATTTAGTCGTAAGTGGTCACTTTTGTAATGTTTGCGGATAAATTTCGTCACTTGACAAGCTTTAAAGTACGGTCAAAAAATTTGATATTTTTATACCGTAAAGCTTATTTTTTTTATAATAAAAAAAACATAATTGATGGCAATTTAAATAAAGAAATGCATCAACGTTGATTTCAGCTTTTACCTTTTTTGAAACGCTTGAACACAAGTGGAAAACCATTTGAGTTGTTAATAAAAGTGATAAGAGAATCAAACAAATTTGGATTAGTGAGTGTGAGGGTTTAGAGTCGAGACGCCAGACAGACAGACGGCGCCCCATAATACACACGAGTGGACGCTTAATCACAAGAGACAATTTCAAATGCTTTGCATAATAAATCTGACGCGTAAATGTGACTCCGAGCCAAAAATATGTCTATTAAAATCGGAAGAATTATAATTGTAAAACTCTAGGCGTGGCTAGAGGCGGAGCTAATGATTAATTAATCCACCAATAACAATTTATTAAGTTAAGTAATTGAAATCTCTAAGTACAAATAAGTAAAAAATACGTTCTTGTGAGACTTCTTCTGTGAATATTGAGTTACTGATTATTAAACCGTTCTGTTAAGGATTTAAGGCTTCAGTCCCGTCGTACTAAATCTGAAGATAAAATTTCAGGTAATTGACTAATAAACCACAAGTTTTCCGACTCGTCATGTTGATAAAATCGTGTTAAAAATGCACCGAGACTTCCTTTCATGATTACTCATTAATTCATCACTTATCAAGAAAGCTGTCGGCGCCTCGGTCACATTCTTCCCAGCAAAGGCCGATAAGAAACTCCGACATTGTCTTTTTTCCTCCCGTGTAAACAATAAATGTAACAAAATGTCGCTTACTCAATTATCAGTCAACATTTCGCAGTATTCCTTCAATTTGTCAATCGAGGAAGGAAATGATATAATTTAGAAAACGACGGTATGCTCCGGTTCACGCACATACTTGTTGTAATTAGTCGGTGCACGAAAGTGTGGTCAATTATTTTTTTATGAAAAGGGTTGGACTTACCACAATCATCTCTGACGGTTCCAGGACGAAACACACGTTCTGGCGACGAGCACTGCCTCCTGTTCTTTTGCCGAAACTGGAAAGAAAAGCGGTGATGAAGCGGAATTGTGACAGTTTTCCAATAAATGTTTGGAATTGATAGGGGAAACAAAAACAAAGCACAATTACGCAAAGAGATGATCATTTAGGTAACTGTAAACACTTGGAAATCTCAGAAAAAATATATCCTTTCATAATAAAAGTCTTCATCACATAGATGTCATAGGGGGGCCGTGTGATCGCAGAAGGTTTGGAAATAAATWGTATTTTTCTTAAAATGTTCAAACATAAAACCAAATATTTTCAAATTTTTTTATTAAAACTCCTCTTAACAAAAMGATTAAATTAAGAAATGTTCATTAACAAAGAAGGCGTGAACGTCTTCGCATCAAACTGACTGATCACCATGTGCGCACTGCTTTCAGCCCTTGTTAATTATTCTTGCGCAGGGGCCCTTGCTAATATCCTAAAAACTGAGTCTGAAAATGTGACGTTTGAGATGAGGCGTGTTTAAGTACCTCTTTTCGCTTCTGCGATCCTGTTACTCACTTTTTGTTTTTGAACATTATAGCATTGAAATTTTTAGGATAAAATTATTTTGCTTTCCATTTTAATTTGTTTAAACATGTTTTAGCAACGAACATTTTACACAAAAGTGTTTGGTTCTCACCGATTTTGTATTTTTCATATTTGCTGTATGAATAATTTGTTTAATAAATTTTATGAACATTGGTTTTTACTTTGAATTTTTTTGACAGTGTAACAGTGAACTACCCTAAGATGTTATACTGTAAGTACTAACAGAAAATTCAGACAGTAGTAAAAAAAAAGTTTCCTATTTATAGGAAAAAATAATAAAACCCTCTCAAAAAGTACTCGTACATATTTTTTTATAGATTTCTCTAGAATTTAGAAACGACTCATACCAAAGTTACTTTTAAAATTTGTTTTGTCTCTCAGTCAACTTGAAGTGTCCGCTATACAGAAGTTTAACTGTACTAACCGAAATACAAAGAAAAAAAACTCTATTTTAAATAAATCACTTTTAACTTTTATTCTAACTCATGTAACAAAGACAATAAAAATCACAATTACACAAATACATCTATGTAATACAGTGGAAGTCGTAGTACCTTATTACCAAAAAATTATTCGAGTTATCGAAACATAGAAGATTGCTTTTGAAATAAGTTGTTTTTTTGATGAGAACATACTCTTAAAAAATGTATTATACAAAAAGTAAGACAAGTAGACAATTTTTTTTTTATTCAACTGTCAAAAAAAAGTACAAACTTTAAGACTATAACAATTTTTTAGCGTATTGCAATTGTACAGATAAAAAATGAAGAAGTTAAAAGTTATATTTAAAAAAAAAATATATATAACACCATATTTTTTGTTTCTACATTTAAAAGATTATTAAATAATCTTTCCAAAAACATTCTTACAAGTGCCTACAATCAATAACTTAAAAAATATTTAACAATAAACAATAAAAAAATACTAATCATTATTTCAACAGCCAAAAAGTGCACATTTGCACGAGAATATCACTCAATAGTGAAATTTACGTAACACTGAATCCATTATTCTTCGTTTTTACTCTAAAACAAATCGAATTTCAGTATTTATTCCAGCTTTTACAATCTCTGGACTAATCCCAAATAAATGATCCGTGGTGGAATTACTACAATGCTCATAAGCACTCTTGTCAAAAGTTTCCATATTCCATTTAATTTTTTTAAATAATTCAACTTTTAAAAACGTCTATATTTTTTAACGTTTCGATTGCAATACAATAAAAAAATGTTATGATTTTAAAACTCGTAGTTACAGACCAACCAATCACTTCGACTTATAGAAATTTTGAATACAGGTTCGATTTATCGAGGTTCCACTGTAGCTACATATAAAATTATTGATAAAAATTTGCTCAGTCAAAACCAAACCAAATTCACTATAATATTCGAATATCAAAGTTTAAAATAAAAAAAATTTGTAATGAGTAAAAAATAATGTTTCAWCGTCCCACTTTCGTTTTTAGTCACTATTTAATTTTGAATATTTTTATATACAATTTTTTTCCATTTTGGGCTAATAAAAATAGAAAAAATAATTGAAATAAACTTGTTCTCGTTTAACTTTTAACTCCGATTTATAATACCGTTGAAATAGTAAAAAAACATCACAATTTTCCGAAAAATGCCGGATAACCCGTTACATGAGCAAAACCTTCAACTTCGTCATGAAAACCCATCGGAATGTCTTGAAAAACACCATCAGCAATGCATAATAACACTCGTCCTAGTTTACACTAATAAAATAGTACCATTGTTATTTTCACAATGGACTAGTTGGTCCACGATGGTCTAGGTGAGTCACCATCAATCCAAAAACTGTTCCTAAAGAAACCATTTCTCAATTTATCTCCTCCCAACCCATCACGAATGCAATAAAGTTTATTTATAAGTCCCATTTAATTAAACGATCGCCTCGAAAAGCAAAAGTAGTCGTACTTTCCGAAAGCTTACGTAACCCTCAAACTAGTTTTTACGTAAACGTAATTACGCGTGATTTTTCTTATTTATCTCCTCTAATGYTCGCTKCCGGCACAAAAATAGCACCCCTTCCGTTAACTCTTATTTAATTAGCAATCGGCAACGTTATTTCACAGCCCAATTTGGTAAAGAGGCAATAAAAGCCGTTTAATTAGTCGACGTTTCAATCGGACAACCCTTGTCTCTGYGGCTTTGTGTTATCCAATTAAAGTCAAGTGGTGGTGCGGGACGCCACCCCCATACTGAACGGATTAAGGCCCASATTCGATTCTGACGACGTCTCAAGCGAAATGTTCAATTTTCAATGACGAGTTTCATCACATGAATCACGTGAGGTGATTCAAAATTGATGAATAATAAAGGAAATCGAAAATTATTGTTTGGGGTATTGATCGCCYTTCTAGTTTAAACTTGACGATTGCTGCAAGCTTTGGAATTGTGTCAATAATAATAGAATTCTCCCTCGCTGAGAACGATATTAATAAGTCTGGAAGTTCGACAGCTTACAAATGTTTCAATTTATGGCCTCTTCAATCAAACTTCTCGAGCTATTTCGGTTCAATTTATGTCTTGTTTCAATGATTGTAGTTGTGCTTTGGCCGTAATCTTTTAMTTTATTATTGGAAGCTTTTATCCAAATTCGCTAGAACATCGCCATAACTGTAAAAAACCACTCCTAGGCAACTTTTATGAACCTCTAAAGTGCACTTGGCATTCGCCAATGTCTTGCAACTTCACATATTTTCCATTTTATCGTCACTTTAATCCCCAACAGTATCAACTTGAGCTGAAAAACGGATCAATTCAAGTCTGGCAATCCCCCGTGAGTACAAGCCACAACTCCCTATTGTCCTCAACCCCTTTCGAAAACTCCATTGTTTATTTTCATGCAATGCAGGCCATCGAACTTTAATAATAGTCCCATATATCCAGACTCCGCATTTTTGTTCAGAAAACCGCACCTTATTTTTTTTTTGCAACTCGTCCTGACTATGGACCAGAATGGGTTTAGCCTTCGGGGCTAGTTAACTCACCCTCGTTTCCTACTACAACACCTAACGCGGAAGAGGTCTCTCTTCATCAGAGGCCCGAATTTATCAGCCCCAGGCTACGGCTATTATACAGGTTTTATCAGATGGATAGAGCGTGTTTAAATAGCAGCCTTTAAATTTCTTCTGCATTACATCGATCGATCGGCCAATGAAAAGGAAAAAATTTCTTATTATTATTCTTAATTATCAAAATGAAAAAGAATTTTGCAAAATTAAGAAAAAATAAGTATGAAGAAAATTTCTGAAACTGATGATTACTATAATGGCAGATTTCAGTTAATTATGGTATCGAAATGTTTTTTAAGATCTTCTTGATGAATGAGTTTTGTAACAAAAAAAATATTGTGTTCAATCTAAAATAAACGTTTTTTTTTCTTTAATTAATTCAACGAAAACTGCCCATAATTCCGTTTAATACCCAATAATTCTAAAATATTTCCAAATAATTCCGAATAATTCGAATACACCTAAATAATTCCAAATTTAAATAAAAATAGATGTGTGATATTTACAGTCTGTGATTGATTAAATAATTTCCTGATATTCATATTTGTCTAAGTTTTTTTACTATTAGAGTATATTCCAAATTAAAATAGT